ATGATCTTGATGAAGCCTGATAGAGCTAAATGTTCTGATGCCTTCAATGTTTTCTCTGTTGTGTGAAGAATTCAATAAGGACGTCTTCTTGAACAAAACAGCTCAGTGTTCTTCTTGTCCTGACTAACTGAAATCTAGATCTCTGAAGATCCCCCACAGCATATAGTGAGGGGCCATACAAAGCTGATCAGTGGTCCTTTGTTAGACGTTATCTCTAGAATTTATTAAACTTGTGTGTGTGACCGGATCCAGTGAGGTCTGGAATTTGTCCAGCCAATCCATGACGGGTGCCGAGTGTTCGTGATCTTTTGTGATGGCTTAGAACAAACAAACGTCGGAGCTTTTATTGTATTGGAACAATCATTTGATGTGTACATAGTGCCCCTCATGTGACTTTTCTATAGTGGTGAATCCTCCATCTCATTCTTCATTAGATCTCATTCACCTCACTGAGTCACAGTTTTCATTTTGTCTTCTTTTTCTTTCCATGAATACAAATCATCGACAGAGACCAAAGATGTTCACCTTGAAGAAGTCCCTGTTCCTGGTTTTCTTTCTGGGGATGATCTCCTTATCTCTCTGCAGGCATGAGTAAGTATGTGTGAGCTGAACTCCGGGCAAATAACTAAACACATATATGGGAGTATTTTACCTACCAAAGATTTTGTATATCTGTCCATCCAGCCCAGATTCAAACAGCTCTGCCCTACAGCACATCCCTACCTGACAGGGCAGGAGAACTGATTTCTCCCTGCTGCAGTTTACAAACACTTACTTATCCCTCCTCGAGCTTGCAAACTGCACAGTGAAAGGAGAAGCAGAAGACTGATGAGCTCCTCTCTCTGTCACTTTGCTCTCTCCTCCTATCACTGCAGCACAACTGATGTATTGATGATTACAGAGCTGCATTAATGTATGTCCTTTATATCTGGCTGGAGTTCAGGTATTTGGTGTACGCCAGTAAAACGGGGAAATGTATTCAGGTTACACATCATCTCATTGAGTCAACTCCTTAGCTCAGCCCCTTCCCTCCTTACATGTCATGTCCCCTTCTGGGAGTGTCTTATCAATATCTGTGCTGTCCCAGCTCCTCCATCCCTCCCCTCACCCTTCTACATAATCTTTTCTGTAGCTGCTGGAGGAGCTATAGAATACTGTACAATGTTATGTGAGTGACAGTTCTGTGTATATTGGGGCTACTAGCATCTCATCCAAGATGGCGGCACCCAGCACATGTTTTTGGTACCTACACACGGGAGGATTTTACAGGTAAATAACTTCAATAAAATCCATTCAATGACCCTATAAAAAGACTTTTGTTGACTTGAATGGTCTGGTGACAGGGTCTCCTATAGAGTCCAGGGGACATAGTTGTCCAGATCAGGTGAAGATATCACGTCAATGGAAACAATTGAGATCCCGGGTGTGGAAGGATCATACCTCAGTAGGGATCAGACCCTATATGAAGTCCTGAGGCAGATAGTGCCAGTTCTGAATCCGCCCTCCACACGTCCAGGAGGACATGAGTCTAATATCCAGCTTATCTGCATCTTACCTAGGATAAGGTGATGGGAACTCCTGATACGAATATGTTGACATTCCCTCTTCATGCTTCCTTCTAGTTGGGTCCACTTGTTGATGAGAAAGTTCTGTGCCATAGTGCAGAACATATCAGAATCTTCCTGCTGGCTATTCAATAAAGGATTCCAGTCTGTGGCCTCCCTCTGTGCCATATTCCTCCTAGATGTTAGTGTTGCTCAACATGACCTAAAATGAGACATTTTCTGTCCCCAGTGAAATCCTGCTTGTGTACAATGATCAATGTTGCTTTGTTTGACCAGAACTGTGTCTTCTCCTAGGAGCTCCGCCCATGAAGAGTCCAGCAATGATCCCACAGAGGAGGAAAATGCAGCCGGAAATGAGGAAAGCGTAGAGAAAAGAGGCTGGGCCAGTACACTAAAGAACGTTGCTGGTGGATTGTGTAAAATTACTGGGGCTGCTTGATTGTGAATTGGAATGCTAAACAGATGTCTAATAAAAAAGCAAAATTAATTCAAAATGGCTCCAATACATAATGTAAAAGGCTTTGAAACTGATATGAATATCTCTATCTATCTATCTAATTATCTATCTATCTATCTATCTATCTATCTATCTATCTATCTATCTATCTATCTATATTACCTTTTGGCTTATTTCTGATTTTTGCCATGTGATTCTTCTGTAATTTTGGACATCTGAGATATTTGGAGGGACACGATCAGTATATCTGAGTTGCTAAAAAGTCTCTATTAAGTCATAACAGACATCTGCAGTTGACCAATTAATAAATCTGATACCAATTCCATATCTTAGATGTTATCACTATAAATGATGATGTAATAATGTAATAAATCAGATGAGCTACAGCATACATTTGGTGTCTGTGTGTGTTGGTCTCCAATATCGCGATATTTCATCATAATTTGAGCCCACGGGTTATTGGGGAGCTGGTTTTGCACCTGCACTTAAAATGTATTACCCGGACAGTGTGATGGGTTTTCTTCTTTTTTTCTTACTGATGAATCTTCTTTAATTGGGGACAACCAATTCTGACTTTCAGATGACACCACTAACTCTTAGATGACACCACTCACTCTTAGATGACACCACTCACTCTTAGATGACAACATTCACTCTTAGATGACAGCACTCTATCTCAGATGGGACCACTCTCTCTCAGATGGGGCCATTCACTCTTAGATGGGACCACTCACTCTTAGACCAGATGGGATCAGATGGGACCACTCTGTGACGGACTCCAGTACTCAGGATGAGTATGTCCGCCGCTGTATTCTTCCTTGCTCAGGAGATATTGCAACCCGCTGATATTTAGCTCCCAGTTTCCCCAGTCACTAGTCAGGACCAAGTTTTTCTGCTGACACAGGAAAAGCGCCACAGCTTCCTGCAGCCATGGAAGCGCTGGCCCAGTTCGACAATCATGGTCCTGCCCAGGATATGCTGAGAAGGAGAGTCGCTTTGTTCCGGGAAGTCTGGAGGGAGACTCTTCAATTGGAGCAGCACTATTGTGGCAAGCAGGGCCGGTGCAAGGATTTTTTCAACTCAGGCGAAGGTGCATTTTGCCACCAATGGCACGCATTCTGCATTGCGCTGTATAATGTACTATTGCTGGGAGTTGTAGTCCTCTATAGCTGGTGGTATTCTCCATTGCGCTGTATAATGATTATACTGCGCAATGCAGATTACCACTGACCAGTTATAGAGGAACTACAAATCCCAGCAATAATATATTAACCAGCCTGTATAATGTATTATTGCTCGGATTTGTTGTTCCTCTATAGCTGCTGGCGTTCAGCATTGTGCCGCTGTATTATACAATGCACAATACAATACACAATACAATACAATGCAGCATACCACATGCACTTTGTTACATACCGCTCTATATTACTGTCTTCACGTCCGCTCCCACTTCAGCCAGCTCCCGATCCCGATTCCCGATACGAGTCCGATGTGTCTGGTCTGGGGTGGGTCACCATGAGAGGGTGAACCGAAAACGCCTCCTCGTTCGGTTCCACTCCAAATCTGTGCAGCAGCAGACTGTGCTCCGGGCGGCTCCCGAGTCCCTGAACAGGTCGCCGTCGCCTCCAGGATGACGACGGACTGCTTGCTGGTACGTCCGCCCTTTGCTCCTCCTCCTGCAGCCCTCGCTCCCTCACAAATGGCTGAGCAGCCAGGGGAAGCAGGGGCGGGGCCACTTACGTCACTCACTGCCGTCACTGACGTAGGACGTAGCCAAGAGGACTGCTCAGTGGCGCTTCCCCATAACGCTGCCCTGGCCCGAGAATCGATATTGACAAGTTAAACTGTCTGAGACTGCCTGCACTGGTCAGCGCCGCCGCGGCCGGCGGGGACTCGTCCTTCAGATGCCGCCCGCAGCGGCAGCCTACACTGATCTCGATCGGACAGCCGGACTTATGCCGGCGACTGTCACTGCCCAGCAGACTTTTCCGCCCCTGTTCCCTCGCGCCCTCAGGCAGCTGCCCATGTTAAGTTCCCATCTTACCTAGGATAAGGTGATGGGAACTCCTGATACGAATCTGTTGACATTCCCTCTTCATGCTTCCTTCTAGTTGGGTCCACTTGTTGATGAGAAAGCTCTGTGCCATAGTGCAGAACACATCAGAATCTCCCTGCTGGCTATTCAATAAAGGATTCCAGTCTGTGGCCTCCCTCTGTGCCATATTCCTTCTACATGATGATGATGTTCCTCAACGTGACCTAAAATGAGACATTTTCTGTCCCCTAAGAAATCCTGCTTGTGTACAATGACCAATGTTGCTTTGTTTGACCAGAACTGTGTCTTCTCCTAGGAGCTCCGCCCATGAAGAGTCCAGCAATGATCCCACAGAGGAGGAAAATGCAGCCGGAAATGAGGAAAGCGGAGAGGAAGGAGACGTGGAAATAAGAGGCCCCTCTCTCAATAAGCGAGGTTGCATATATGTTTTCATTTTTCCTATCTGTAAATTAATTGGAAGTCATCTGATGTGCAGAATCATCTGCTAAAATGGGTAACAGATGTCTAATAAAAAGAAAAACATGTATGCAGTAGTTCCTTGAATTTACTTGAATGTAGGGACAACCAATGCACACTCTTAGATGACACCACTCACTCTTAGATGACAGCACTCACTCTTAGATGACAGCACTCACTCTAAGATGGGGCCACTCACTCTTAGATGGGGCCACTCACTCTTAGATGGGACCACTCACTCTCAGATGACACCACTCACTCTCAGATGACACCACTCACTCTTAGATGACACCACTCACTCTAAGATGTGGCCACTCACTCTTAGATGGGGCCACTCAGTCTTAGATGACACCACTCACTCTTAGATGACACCACTCACTCTTACATGGGACCACTCACTCTTAGATGACACCACTCACTCTTAGATGATACCACTCACTCTTAGATGATACCACTCACTCTTAAATGACACCACTCACTCTTAGATGACGCCACTTACTCTAAGATGACACCACTCACTCTAAGATGATGCCACTAACTCTTAGATGACCCCACTCACTCTTAGATGGGACCACTCACTCTTAGATGACACCACTCTCTAAGATGACACAACTCACTCTAAGATGGGGCCACTCACTCTTAGATGGGGCCACTCACTCTTAGATGGGGCCACTCACTCTTAGATGGGGCCACTCACTCTTAGATGGGGCCACTCACTCTTAGATGGGGCCACTCACTCTTAGATGGGGCCACTCACTCTTAGATGGGGCCACTCACTCTTAGATGGGGCCACTCACTCTTAGATGGGGCCACTCACTCTTAGATGGGGCCACTCACTCTTAGATGGGGCCACTCACTCTTAGATGGGGCCACTCACTCTTAGATGGGGCCACTCACTCTTAGATGGGGCCACTCACTCTTAGATGGGGCCACTCACTCTTAGATGGGGCCACTCACTCTTAGATGGGGCCACTCACTCTTAGATGGGGCCACTCACTCTTAGATGGGGCCACTCACTCTTAGATGGGGCCACTCACTCTTAGATGGGGCCACTCAGTCTTAGATGACACCACTCACTCTTAGATGACACCACTCACTCTAAGATGATGCCACTAACTCTTAGATGACACCACTCACTCTTAGATGGGACCACTCACTCTTAGATGGGGCCACTCACTCTTAGATGATGCCACTTACTCTTAGATGGGGCCACTCACTCTTAGATGGGGCCACTCACTCTTAGATAGGGCCACTCACTCTTAGATGACACTATTCACTCTTAGATGACGCCACTCACTCTTAGATGGGGTAACGTTCGCAGGGGATCCCGATCACGGCCCCTGCGTTCCAGCCTGGAACGCAGCGCCAGGAGGAGAGTCTCTACGGCTCCTCCGGCGCATCGTGACGTCATGCGTTCCAGCCTGGAACGCGGAAGTCATAGGCCATCCGTGCGCTCCAATCGGATGCAACGGCGGCCTATTTAAACACAGTCGGGAGGCTGACACGGCGGATCTGCCCTTCCTAAGCGCAAGGGAATTAATCATTGTACCACAACCAATTGACTTTTTGCAACCCAGAGACTGCATATCTTTTGTTGTTAATAATAGCGGGTAACATACCCTATACCTATACTTTATGATACATTATTATTATACTTTCTATACTGTGGCGCCTATGAAGCAATAGTAGCCCCCCTTTTAACCCCTTCCTCAGGAATATACGGCAGATGATGCTATAACCCCTAACTCCCCGTGAAGATTGGGAGTGACGCCAGGGGTTAAGCCTGACTAGCCGTATTAACCTTATAGGAACTCTGGTAAAAGGGGAGTGCTGTCTTACTGTCCTACCGCAGTTTCGATCCACAAAACCAGGGGACCAAGGGGGTACGTGACAGATGGGGCCATTCACTCTTAGATGACACCACTCACTCTTAGATGACGCCACTCACTCTTAGACGGGGCCACTAACTCTTAGATGGGGCCACTCACTCTTAGATGGGGCCACTCACTCTTAGATGGGGCCACTCGCTCACTTTTTGCTAGCATTGTTACCATGCAAGCAAAAAAGCCTTGGCACACTTACTGGGTATCAGTGTTGGTCTCACAGTAAGAAATCTTCCCGGGTTTGGAGAAAATAGGTGCTAATGGCAACACCTTAAAATATGCTGTACACAGACTGTGTAAGATCCCTAATTCATAACATAAGGGTGGTGGCATTAACCCAAGAGGGAGCCGCTAGGTCAATGGGTTCTTCTGCCGTGACCCAGTGATGACCTGCACTAGCTGATCCAAATCTCTCTGACACACCAGCACTATTTTAATGGATTTTATTAAAAGATGAAAGCCCTGCTGAATAAAGGTGGGCTAATAATCAGATTGCATAGCAATAAAACAAATACTGTTTGATGGTCAATACAATTGAGTATGGTTTGTTCCCCCCACCTGACTGCCTGTGAAATGGCCCAGCCTAAGCATTTTAAGTGCCCACAAGGGAACAATAAAACAACAATAAAACCTTCAGCGACATTACTAATGACAGTGTGATCTAACTGCTGCACACAGGCCCTGTCTAATCCCTGGCCAGTGGGATAAATAGTCCACTGTTGTTGGGGCTCTTAACAGGTGGAGCGCTCATTCATTAAAAGGACAAAGAGAGGTGGCCTCTCACCAATCCTGAAGGTCCAGGTGTGCCCTGAGAAGGCTTGGAGAGAGGTGTGAGGGGCCCACTTTTCAAGCCAGCAATGAAGAACGACGAAGGATGGAAATGGTCATTCTCTTCTGCAAGTCCTCAACTCTGGAACTGCAGGCCTCTGAAATGGCGGCCTCGTGGTCCAGCCAACACTCACCAGTAGCAGTGCTGTAAGGAACACATGGCCCTGGGCTTACTATCACACAACCTAGACCAAAGCACGGTCTCTCTGTTAGCAGCACCCAGAGCACAGAGGCTCACTTCACTACTTTCTATCCATTCTGATTAAGGCACACACAGCAGCACAGAGAAGCTGAATGCATATGTATTGACTCTGAAGGTATTGAAGAGCAATCATCGAGAACTTCTATGGACCAATTCTCCTAAAGAGGCCAAATTGATTCATAAGGACAGATTGCACCTTCGAGAAGGGGTGGTCTACCGAAGGGGCCCCTCTGACGGTTTAGAAGGACGCTTCTAAACAACTAATTTGGCCTCTTTAGGAGAATTGGTCCATAGAAGTTCTCGATGATTGCTCTTCAATACCTTCAGAGTCAATACATATGGATTTAGTGTGCATTGATTATGCACTACTGTTCTGATCACTGACAGTAATCTGTGCAGCAGCGTGTTCCTGTCCACAGAGTCAATGAGAGCCAGCAGTGGCGGTGGAGCAGGCTGGACCCGGCAGTGGAGGAGGAAGCGGGGCCCGTGGTCGGCAGCAGGGGAGGAGGCGGGGCCCGGTGTAAGCCGCCCAATTTGATATCTTCTGCCCCATGTGCTCCAAGATGGAGACTCTCATAGTTTAGAGTTAGGACCGCACTATAAGAGGTGCCTTGGCGCGGCAGTGCGGCTTACACATCCTTTGCAGAAGACGTGTATCCAAACCTCTGTCATTGTCCTTAGTGGTGAGACAAGTTGTTTTACATGCTAGTTTGTGAGTGTGCCATGATGCCTTTCTACTGTTCTACTGTTCAAAGCCCATTTCGTGTGCACCTTACTGTACAACTGGTAACAAATTGTTGAGTGCGTTTGTCGTTTGTTTTGCTTTACCGATTTGGTGCAGCGACGCATGGGGTTTCTCAGCTGCCAATGGGATGTGCGGGATCCCTTGTGTGTTTCTGTACCTTTAAGGAGGTGGGGCGTCCTCCTGACAAGCCTGCACCCAATTTGATATCTTCTGCCCCATGTGCTCCAAGATGGAGACTCTCATAGTTTAGAGTTAGGACCGCACTATAAGAGGTGCCTTGGCGCGGCAGTGCGGCTTACACATCCTTTGCAGAAGACGTGTATCCAAACCTCTGTCATTGTCCTTAGTGGTGAGACAAGTTGTTTTACATGCTAGTTTGTGAGTGTGCCATGATGCCTTTCTACTGTTCTACTGTTCAAAGCCCATTTCGTGTGCACCTTACTGTACAACTGGTAACAAATTGTTGAGTGCGTTTATCGTTTGTTTTGCTTTACCACCTGAGGGTGACCCTGCAGAGCCCACCATAGACTTACCCTCAGATGGGCTGTGTGGGATCTCAAGTGGGCTCTGCAAGGGGTATAATTAGAAATCACAGGGCCCCATACAAGATTTTGCTATGGGGCCCTGTGATTTCTAGTTACGCCCCTGGTATCAGGCCTCCAGATATGCTGACAAGAGGAGGCCAGGAATACAGAAAATTGTTATCTCATACTTACCGTAATTTTCCTTTCCTGGCCTATCTCATGTCAGCATATTTTCTGCCCTCCCTAGAGTGTCTTTTTTTCGCGAGCCAGAAGGAAATACGAAGGGGGGGCGGCTCAAGCTGATTTTAATTGGCTAGGAAAGGGTTCTCCTGGGCGGGATCAGAGCTGACCCATAGATATGCTGACATGAGGACAGGTCAGGAGCGGAAAATTACGGTAAGTATGAGAAAACCATTTTTCGGTATGCCCTATGGTCCTTTAGCTCCCTCTAGTGGTCATAATGTGATATTACATAAAAACATTCAAACCATTATTTTGAAGAAAAAAAAAGAACGTTTGGTTTGGCATATATTCGCATTGAGGGAATGTTCCATCCCTTTTAGGGCAAAGTGACGTTATACTCACCTCCCCAGTGCTTCTGTATGGTGGAACATGTGACCTCCTTTTATGATGCAGCGCTCGGGCCAACCAGTCCATTACTAGGCTGTCACATGAAAGAAAGGCAAAACTGCTCCCCCTGAGCTCCGTCACCAGCCAGAGCCTAGCAAAGGAGGAAGGTGTATGTAGTGTTTCAAGGCCGTGTCACCCATGTGCTAGGTCATACCATACAGAATAACACTTGTGCCATTGTTTTATTTCCCCTATGGCTGGACCTAGAGCAACCCAACCTATGGCCTGATATCAAAAAAGTATGTTAAGTTCCAAAGGAGGGATATCAAAAGATGGCTTACCATATATAGTATAGAGTGCCATGTGCATGTTCCCCTTTTGCTCACCGTGGTCCCTTCCTTTCACCCCTCTCTGAGGTGGACCCCTTCTCTGAGTCATGTAGTGATGTAAGGGGTCAGAGGAAAGAACCACATCGCGTGGTGGGTAAGACAGGCATTTGACTCTCCTAGGAGTATCATGTGCATGTCCCCCTTCTGCTCACCGTGGTCCCTTCTTCTGACCCCTCTCTGAGGTGGTCCTCTCCTGAGTCATGTAGTGATGTAAGTGTTCAGAGGATGGAATCACATCTTGTGTTGAGTAAGATAGGCATTCAACACTCCCGGGAGTGTCAGGTGCCTGTTCCTCTTCTGCGCACCATGGCCCCTTCTTCTGACCCCTCTCTGAGGTGGTCCTCTCCTCTGAGTCCTGTAGTAATGTGAGAAGGGGGGGGGGCAGAGGAAGGAACCACATAGTGTGGTGGGTAAGACAAGCATTCAACATGTAAGTGTTCAGAGGAAAGAACCACATCTCGCAATGGGTAGGACAGGCATTTAACACTCCCGGGGGTGTTCCTCTTCTGCGCACCATGGCCCTTCTTCTGACCCCTCTCTGAGGTGGTCCTCATGTAGTGATGTGGGAAGGGGTGGGGGGCAGTGGAAGAAACCACATCTCGTGGTGGGGCAGACAGGCATTCGTCACTCCCGAAACTTTTGAATGCTAAGTAGGGTAATGGTGACTACAGGGCTGGAAGAGAGAGAAGGGAGGAGCCACGGCCCACCAGAGAGGTAGGTATACCACCTCTTCTCTTGCAGGGAACTGGCACTTTGATTTTTTGGAGACCTGTCAGGGTCTCTTTGAACCTTGAGGGTTTGGTACAGATGATCCAATATTTTGTACTGATTTTTATTCAGGGCTGTAGGGAGATTTCATCTTCTTGTTTTTAAACAGAGATTAAATGATTTATGGTGAATATATACAGCAACTAGAATTAAAAGAACTCGGTTAAATACACAGCTGAAAAACACATTTGCAAGTTCGTCTTCTGTTGTTAGCTAAGATGTCCTCTCTTGTGGATTCGACTGCTATGTGAAGCCAGGTCCGCCTTCCTTTTAAAACCTTTCCCGCACTCTGTACAGGAGAACGGCAAGTCGCCGGTGTGAATTTTCTGATGGGAAGTAAGATTTGATCGATCGGTGAAACACTTCCCACATTCAGAGCAGGAATACGGCTTCTCTCCCGTATGAAGTCTTTCGTGGGTGACGAGCGAGGATTTCCGAGAAAAACATTTCCTGCACATGGAACAGAAGAATGGCTTTGTCCCCATGTGAGCCGCCAGGTGTTTAGTGAGAGTGGATCTTGTCGTAAAGCATTTACCGCATTCCGAACATGAAAATGGCTTCTCTCCCGTGTGAGCTCTATGGTGAACCGTGAGAGAGTGTTTGGAGGAAAAACACTCGCCACATTCTGGGCATGAATATGGCTTCTCCCCGGTATGAGTCCTCTGATGGGAGAGGAGACGTTTCCTCTCGAAAAAGCACTTTCCGCATTCCAAACATGAAAAAGGCTTCTCTCCCGTGTGAGCTCTGTAGTGTTTAATGAGTAAATGTTTAAAAGAGAAGCATTTCCCACACTCTGAGCACGAATAAGGTTTCTCTCCTGTATGAGTCATCTGATGGTAGGCGAGACTTTTGCTCTGGGAAAAGCACTTCCCGCATTCCGAACAGGAATATGGCTTAACCCCGGTGTGAGTCCTCTGATGTACGATAAGGTTGGGTCTCCAGGTAAAACACTTCCCACACTCCGAACACGAAAATGGCTTCTTTCCTGTATGACTCATCTGATGCAAAACAAGGTGGTCCCTCTGAGAAAAACACTTCCCGCATTCTGTACAAGAAAAAGGCTTCCGACCTGTATGACTTATCTGATGGGAGATAAGATGGTCACTCTGGGAAAAACCTTTCCCGCATTGAGAACATGAAAACGGCTTCTCAGCTGAGTGGGTCCTCTGGTGTGAAATCAGATGCTGTTTCTGAAAAAAACACTTCCCGCACTCAGAGCATGTGAATGGGTTATCCCCGGTGTGAACTCTTTCGTGTCTGATAAGATACGATTTAACTGGAAAACTTTTACCGCATTCGGAGCAGGCAAAAGGCTTCTCCCCAGAGTGGATCCTCTGATGCGTTGTGAGATGCGACCTTTTACTGAAACTTTTGCCGCATCCAGGGCATAAATAAGGTTTCACGCCTCTGTGAGTTCTCTGATGTTCCCGAAGGCCGGATCTCAAGCGGAAACAATTTCCACACTCCGAACATGAATACGGCTTCTCTCCTATGTGGTGTGAGAGGGGGTCTGGTGTCGGATGGAATTCACCGCCCTCATTAGTGTCACGACAGGAGCGGTCTGGAACACCGACCCCACGTGGGAAGGACGGATCTGTCCCACGAAATACAGGATGATGGTTTGGGGTAAGAGGAGAACAAGACGGGATGTCATCATCTTCTATGTCATCATCTGGAGAGGTATCGGGATGTCCTTCCATGTTGTCCTTCTTGTATCGCCCATCTGGAGGATATAGGAAATTAAGATGAATAAGAAAATATTAAAAACAACTTTTAGTTCAGTTACGTGTTTAAAAAAAGTATTTAAAGTAACTCCGCCTCTAAAAATAAGAATTAGACGTACAGCACTTGTCACTCTTTAGTGACATTTAAAGCGAACCTTGACCCCCTTTCACTAAAAATCAGCATGCAGCTCTTCACATTGATATGACATCATCAGTTAAACTTTTTTGCTTTTACTTACAATTACTGTTTCTCCACTTCCTGGTTGGGTGAGGCACTGGTGATGTAGCCCTGGCCCAACAGACGCATCCTGGCTACATCACCAGTGCCCTCCTGGGAACTCTCATCTGTATACTGCAAAATCTCAGGATATTTTTTTTGCCCTTCCAGGAGGAAGACACAGAGTTCCAGGAAGTGAACGGAGATGGATTACTTTGCCCTTAGTCAAATTGGCCACTTGAGGGGAGGAAAAGAAAAATAAGGCCAGAACTCTGTGTGTCCGCCACAAAGGAAAACTCCCCGTGTCCGCCACAAAGGAAAACTCCCTGTGTACACCACAAAGGAAAACTCCCTGTGACCACCACAAAGGGAAACTCCCTGTGTCCACCAGGAAAACTCTCTGTGTCCACCACACACTAAAACTCCCCGTGTCCACCACAAAGGAAAGCACCCCGTGTCCACCACAAAGGAAAGCACCCCGTGTCCACCACAAAGGAGAGCACCCCATGTCCACCACAAAGGAAAGCACCCCGTGTCCACCACACAGGAAAACTCCCCGAGTCCACCACACAGGAAAACTCCCTGTGTCCACCACAAAGGAAAACTCCCAGAGTCCACCACACAGGAAAACTCCCAGAGTCCACCACACAGGAAAACTCCCCGTGTCCACCACACAGGAAAACTCCATGTGACCACCAAAAAGGGAAACTCGTTGTGTCCACCACAAAGGGAAACTCCCCGTGTCCACCACAAAGGAAAACTCACCGTGACCACCACAAAGGGAAACTCCCCGTGTCCACCACACAGGAAAACTCCCCGAGTCCACCACACAGGAAAACTCCTCGAGTCCACCACACTGGAAAACTCCCCGAGTCCACCACACAGGAAAACTCCCCGTGTCCACCACACAGGAAAAATTATTGAAATCGAGGATGCAAGACCGGAAAAAGTGTTACATAGTTACATAGTATTTGAGGTTGAATAAAGACATTAGTCCATCAAGTCCAACCTATTAGGATCTCAGATACCTTTGAAGTCTGGTGTTGGCGGAGATTTCTACAAAGACTACGGACAGCAAGGAAAGCCAACAAATGGATCCTTCAAGAAATCTAGCCCAACCTTTCTCTAGAAGCCCAGATGACACTAGGCCTAAGCTGTCTTGTTTTGGAATTTAGTGAGAACCAACTTACTAGAAAAAAACAAAGGGGAAGAGGGCGGACAGAAATTAGGTGGATGGATACAGTCACAGGTATTACGAGCATGGTGGAGAAACGCCGTCCATATGTTCATCAGGAGTCAACATCTACTTGATGGGACTTAACAATATTATTAATAAAAACCCACCTATGCCGATCTCATGAATCCTCCCATGTTGTTCTTGCTCCTTGTTTGCTTTGATGTTTCTCTGAGTGGCTCTGCTGCCTTCAGGGCCTATGAATAAAGATAAGAGTTGGGTTGCCTCTGTAATAAGGTATATGAGTGACCCCTGAGAGTGTGTGTGGGGGGAGACTGGTCACGTCTCTTGGCTGGTAACACACAATGACATGATGTGAGGAGGAGAGGCGGAGTCTATTAGAGGCTGATGGCTCCTGACTCCCCCTACTAGACACATTCTGTCCCCCCATTACTGTCTACTGACAGAGGAGGGGGGAGAAGAAGAGATTGTTGTAGTGACTGAACAAGGAGAATCTGGGACTCTTCTCTGAATTTAGTGTTTATTCCTCACCTGTGTAGATCTCTGGAGGGATTTCCTCCTCCTCCTTACACAGCTCATCATTCCTCACGTTCATCCTTTCTTCATCCATATCTTCTGTTCTATATTTACTAATTACATCTTCCTACATAACCAACAAAATATAACAATATTGTAAAGTTTCTCGGACGTTAGTATTGTATTACACACAGCTACATGCTAACTACCTGATCATCCTGAGGGATCTCCTGATGTTCCTGAGGGATCTCATGATGTTCCTGTGTGGAATCCCGGGAATACAGAGGACATCTCTCTTGTGTATTTCTCTTACTTAATCCTCCTATAGGAAGCACTGATATCTAATGTATAGTGTTGATCAAACATAAATAATCTGTAAAACAAAGTTCTGCACTAGCCTGTTTCTCACCTGTGCTGATCTCTATAGGAATGTCCTCATCTTTAACCTGCACAAGTCTTACTTCTTGCTCCTCAACTTTGATATTTCTCTGCGGAGCTGTACTTTTTCCGTGTTCTGCAAATAAAGACAAGCCTATAACTCTGGCAGCATACTAGGGTCCAATCACTCTTCACGTCCCCAATAGTCGCATTACTGTCTACTGACAGAGGAGGGGGGAGAAGAAGAGATTGATGCCCCCCTACTGAGATGTATGAGAGACCCCGAGAGTGTGTGTGTGTGGGGGGGGGGGG